ATGGGGGTTTCCACCCAGCGCTCCAGTCCTGGGAATTTTCAGGGGACTCCTCCCTTTCCCCTTGGTGCTTCCAGAAGAGGGCGAGCGCGGGCCGCTGGGCAGATGGAAACTGGGCGACTCCGCTGGGACGGGCCTTCCATCTGCGGAGCTGCAGAGCCAGGGCAGCCTTCTCGCGGTGACCGCGCATGGCCCGCACCCTGCACCCCTCCCTCTCCTAGAGCTTTCTCCCCTCTGAGTGGATCCATGTAAATGCATGCGTGGAAATGTGTGCGCGGGTGGGACCCTGCGTGCATGCATGTGTGGGTGCTATGTGCCCAGGTGTGGGTTTGCAGCCCACACGCCAGCTCCAGGTCCGTCCTGTTCTTCTGGTTGCTCCCCCAGGCCCACAACTGCACGCGGAAGGACTTCGAGGAGATGTACCCCGCCTTCCCAGAGTTCTGTGCCATCCGGGAAAGGCTGGACCCTGGGGGAATGTTCCTGAACGCATATCTGGAGAAGGTGTTCTTCTGAGGCAGCCAGGGGTCGAGGTGGATCCCCCCACACTCAGTCTCCCAGGAGGTTGAAGACCACCAGAGATGAGCCTGGTTCTGCTGGGCCCCTCTCCCACCTCCTCGTGAGCCCTCATGAGGAGCCCCAGCAAAGAACTGCCTGGAACCCTCCTACCCCCATTTCCATCTCCACGTGCACCCCGTTTTCCCAAGCTGACCATCACCAGAAGGAGGAAACCTTCAGATGCCATCTTGTCACCATCAGGGGTTCCCAGCCCACCTGCGGCTGGTGTCTGTCTCTCCAGGGACCCCGGGGGTGTGCAGCCCTTGTGGGGGAGTCCATAGATGCTACCCCTCTTTTTGTCCCCAGGTGCTCTGGAGTGTCTCTGGACCTCCTACCCCCACGCCCTGAGGTCCCCCAGCCCTTCCTCCCTGCCTCTGTGCAGGGTGCTGGGGTGAGGGATCCATCTTGCCTTCATTCTAATAAAGACCAAGTGATGCCTTCGTCTTAACTCTCCCCACTGTCCCCCGGGAGTCGGGGTGCGCGGACTCCTGGCCTTGGCTTTAGGAAAATGCCCCCTGCTCCTCTGACAAACTCGGCTTCCGACCTGTTATTGGTGCCTTTCATGGGGCCATCTTGGAAGCCTCCTGGTCCCAGAGACTTTGGGGGCACCAAGAACCTTACAGGGCATCCCTCAGCTTAAGAAGTTGAAATTCTAATCACATTGACCTCTAGAGGGTACCACCCAGAATGTAGAAAGAACTGCACAGAAACAATAGCATAAATCATACACACACACACACACACACACACATGCAAGCACTGCACATATGCACACGCACACACACATACACACAAGCACACACACATGTGCACACATAGACTCACACGTGCACACATAAACACACGCACATGCATGCAAGCACTGGACACACACAAACATTCACAAACACACACGCATGAAAGCTCCACACGCATGCATACACACACGTGTGCACAAACACACGCACAAAGGTGCACACACAGACCACATGTGTGCATGCACACACACGCACAGACACACGCATGCACACATACATATACACACATACAGACACACATGCGCACACACAGACACATGCGCGCGCGCACACACACACAGACACACATACACGTGCGTACGCACACACACACACACATACACACACATGCCCAACATAATCAGGGCCAAGGAAACTGCGCAGGGGCGGAGATGCTTGCCTGGCTTGCAGTCTGCCGGGGCTGGGTCCCCAGCAGAGGGTCCCGGGCTCCACTGGGAGTGCTCCCTGAGTACAGCTGGGTGTGGCCCACAAACAAAAGAGAAACCATAAACAGATGGGAATACCCAGTCCACACACTTTGCTTGTGAATGTGTCTGGATGTGAACACCCCCGAAGTGGCCAAGCCCACCTGATCCCCGGGCTGGGCAGGACCTACAGGACATAAGGGGCAGGGGAGGGGGGCCCACCCTCCTTGAAACATCACCCAGCCACGGTTTCTCAAGGTCAGCCTTCAAGGTCAGCCCCGAGTAGCACTCTGGCGCCCCCTGGTGGCAGCTGTCAGCAGCGGCTGTGACGATCTCTGTGTGGGGCAGACCCCCAGGCCCTGACACTGGGCCTGGGGGCTGTCCTGAGGGGGCTGGTGCAGCAACTCTCAAACGTCGAAAAGGTGCTTTGAGGTCCAACAAGGGAGAAGCAGGAGGGGGAGTCCTGAGACTGTGTTAGGCTGTTCTCTCAAGAACTGGTCTAGGAGCTCAAGGAAACAGCAGGGCCAAGATAAGGGACGGCAGGCAGGGCTCTTGCCCTGCACACAACTGCGTTCCATCCCGGGCACCACAGAGGGTCTCCGGAACCTGCCAGGACGGATCCCTCTGTGCAGATACAGGAGCAAGCCCTGAGTACCACCAGGTACGGCCCAACACCCACCCCCTGCAAAAATATATATAGAGAGAATCACCAGGCTGGGGAGAAAGTCCAGGAGTCAAGGTGACTACTGGCTGGGTCCCCGGAAGTGTGTGGGCCCCTGGAGGCCCCGAGCAACCCCAGCCCAGCACCATTGGTCCTTCCAACACCTCTGGCCTGGAACCACCAGGGTTGGCCCCAACCCCCCTGAACATTGTTTGGAGGTCCCTTCCTCCCCAAGGGACTCCTGGGCCCTAGCTACAGGAAGCTACTAGAAATGTCAAATAACTTGTGGAATATGATGCTATAATGACAAGCCCAGTTGGGGTGTTTTTATTGGTTGGTTTTGGGGTTTGAGGGGACCACATTGGGCAGTACTCAGGGTTTACTCTTGGCTCTGTGCTCAGGGAGCACTCCTGGGAGCACTCCTGGTGGTGCTCAGGGGATCACATGGGATGCCAGGGGCACCAAACTTGAGTGGGCCACTGCCAGGCAAATGCTCCACCCACTTTACTTTCTCCCGATACTTTCAAGCTCAGTTGTTTTAACCGATGTCCAGGTCTTTGAACCAGATCTAACGGCTAATGATAGGATTTTATGCATACACCTTTTCCATGTTTTAAATGTGAACTTGGCTACCAACCCAGGATGCTGGCCACACACACACATTTCCCCCCATACAACCCCCCATTGTAAGTATATGTGATAAACAAGGCGTCACATGAGAATAAAAACTCTTTCACTGTTGGTGGGAATGACCACTAGTCCAGTCTTTCTGGAAAACAGTATGGACAGTCCTTCAAAAACTAGAAATTGAGCTTCCATATGACCTCGCAATACCACTTCTGGGAATAAATCCCGAGGATGCAAAAAAGCAAAGTAGAAATGACATCTGTACTATATGTTCATTACAGCACTGTTCAGAATAGCCAAAGCCTGGAAACAACCGAAGTGCCCTAGAACAGATGACTGGTTAAAGAAACTTTGGTACATCTACACAATGGAATACTATGCAGCTGTCAGGAGAGATGAAGTCATGAACTTTGCTTATAAATGGGTAGACATGAAGAGTATCATGCTAAGTGAAATGAGTCAGAAAGAGAGGGACAGACATAGAAGGACTGCACTCATCTATGGAGTACAAAACAACATAACATGAGGCTGACACCTAAGGATATTAGACACACGGGACAGATAGATTGCTCCATAGCTGGAAGCCTGTTTCATGAGCAAAGGGGAGAAGGCAGCTGGAATAGAGAAGGGATCACTAAGAAAAAGATGGCTGGAGGAACCGGTCGGGATGGGAGATGTATGCAGAAAGTAGATAAAGGACCAAACATGATAACCTCTCGGGGTCTGTACTGCAAACCATAATGCCCAAAAGTAGAGAGAGATTAGGGGGAATCATGTCTGCCATGGAGGCAGGGGGAGGGGGGGAAAGGGGGGTTATACCGGGAATATTGGTGATGGGGAATGTGTAATGGTGGAGGGATGGGTGTTTGATCATTGTGTGATTGTAACCCAAACATGAAAGCTTGTAACTATCTCACGGTGATTCAATAAAATTAATAAGAAAAAAAATTTCATTTCCAACCCCTTGCCCAGTTAATGCTGGTTGAGATGGGTTGCTGGGCGCCACCTGCTGGCAGTCTAGGGTACTGCGGTCAGGCTGGACCACGGACAAAGCAGGGAATTTCTCATCAAGTAAAACCCAGTAGGGGAAAAATCCCAGACAGGAACAGAGATAAAGACTGTCTGGCTCCACGGTGGACAAACAATGTCCAAAGGGCCCCACAGGGATCCCAGGATCTTACAACAAAAAGCAACAGGCTCCCCTTGCCTCTAGGGAACAAGAGTATGCATAAGGGGAACCTCAAATTTGGACCCTCAAATTAAGGCTGCAGAGAAACTGCAGCTCAGATTTGACCCCTGGTGCCCCAGAGGGTCTCCTAAGACCTTTGAGGAATGAGGTCTGAGCACAGAGACAGGAGTGAGCCCTGAACTCAGAGACAGGAGTGAGACCCTGAGCACAGAGTCAGGAGCCAGCCCTGAGCACAGAGTCAGGAGTGAGGCCTGTGACCAGGTGACCACCAAAACAAGAAACACAACCAAAAAAGACTTATCCTTAGCATATCTCCACCCTCACTTCAGGAGAGTTCCCCCACCTCACCCCCAAACAGACCGTGACAGCTTTTGGGGTGGGAGTTTGGGTCACACCTGGTGATGCACAGGGCTTATTCCTAGCTCTGCACTCAGGGATCACTCCTAGTGGTGCTCAAGGACCCTATGGGATGCTGGGGATCGGCCAGTGTGCAGGGTAAATGCCCTCCCTGCTGGACTATCGCTCCAGCCCTGACAGCGGCAGCTTGATCATGGTTTGGAGAGGTACTTTCCAGAACTTTCCCTCTGAGTTCTTCCCGGTAACATGCACGTTCCAGAAATGTCTGGTGTGGTTTTGGGGTCATCACCACCCTCCTTCCATCCTCAGCCAAAGGCCTGTCCTTGGCACTCACTTCTCTCACCCCCCCCCCCGCCCTGCTAACACGAGCCCCGCAAGAAGGGAGTGGAGACAGCAGAAACCCGGAGGCCAGCTGGATATTCAGGAAGTTTAATGTGAGTTAGTGCATACAGGGCAGGAGCCCGCTGGTGCGGGTGTGAGTGTGAGAGTGTCAGGTCCCGAGGGGGCAGGCTATGGGGTCCGGGGGCCTCCAGGGATCTCTGGAATCAGGCCAATGCCCCATCCTCGGGGACGCCGTGTGCAGGTCTTATTCCGCCCTGAAGAACGAGAGGATGGTGGGTGAGGCCCCGGGGAGGAGCACCCCAGAGAGGAGCACCCGCAGAGGAGCACCCTGGATATGAGCACCCGTGGAGGAGCACACATGTAGGAGCATCCATGGAGGAGCACCTTGGGGGGGAGCACCACGGGGAGGAGAACCCGGGAGGAGCACCCCGGAGAGGAGCACCCATGGAGGAGCATCCTGGGGAGGAGCAACCTGGAGATGAGCACCCTGGGGAGGAGCACCCTGAAAGGAGCACTCTGGAGAGACGCACCTTGGGGAGGAGCATGCTGGAGAGGAGCACCCGGGGAGGAACACCCTGGGGAGGAGCACCCTGAAAGGAGCACTCTGGAGAGAAGCACCTTGGGGAGGAACACCCTGGGGAGGAGCACCCTGAAAGGAGCACTCTGGAGAGAAGCACCTTGGGGAGGAGCATGCTGGAGAGGAGCACCCGGGGAGGAACACCCTGGGGAGGAGCACCCTGAAAGGAGCACTCTGGAGAGAAGCACCTTGGGGAGGAGCACGCTGGAGAGGAGCACCCAGGGAGGAACACCCTGGGGAGGAGCACCCTGAAAGGAGCACTCCGGAGAGGAGCATCTAGGGAGGAGCAACCTGGGGAGGAGAGCCCCACACAACCCCAGAGTTCCGGCTGGCGTGCCTGGCTGCTCACCCCTTCTGCCGGTACTCGCGCAGCGCCTTCTCGGCCACCATCTCCATGAACCGGGGGCTCTCCCTGGACACATTGTCTGGGATGGACACCATCATGGGGGGTGCATCAAAGAGCTTCAGGCCCACCAGCGTGACCCCGTGGAGACCGTCTGTGCTGGAGCTCTGGGAATTCACCTAGGAGGACAGGAGCGGACAGGTAGTGGGCAGCAGACTCTGGAGACAGCCTCTGTGCCCCCCTTGGTCCAGGCTGCAGAGGGCGGCGCCCGGGCAGGGGAGCCGGCAAGAATCATTCCCGAGCCCCTCCCTCTCGGGGACCACTGGCCGGGCTGGGCAAGGACGGTCAGGGAAGGAAGGGAACAGGGTGGGGTGAGGAGGCTAGGGAGAGACGCACGGGGGTGGGGGGAGCGGTGCATCCGGGAGGGGGGAGCGATGTCAAGACGGTACAGTCCCCAGCCTTGCACGGACACCCCCCGGACCCCCACGGCTCGGTGCAGCCCTGGAGGCCGTCGGACTGCGCCCCCATTTCCAAGGGGGCATCCACGGGGCGCGCGCGCGCAGCCCCGCTTCTCCCCGCGCGCGCGGAGCGCCCCGCTCACCGTGGTGACCTGCAGGTGGTCCTGGTCCTCGCCCTGCGTCAGGTTGGCCAGCCGGGACACCCAGCTGAACTCCTCATTGAGCTGCTTGAGCAGCCCCGAGGAGGCGCGTGTCTTCTGCTGGTAGGATCGCAGCAGCTGGTCGTAGCGGCGCGAGAACTTCTCAGCCATCAGCAGCGCCTCGCTGAGCTCCTGGCGCAGCCGCTCCTGCGCGGGGTTGCTGCCCGAGCAGTCTGCGGGGCGGCCGGGGGAGGTGGGCGTCAGCGGGCACCGTGCCCCGGCCAGCGGTCGGACAGGGGCTGGACGCCCAGCGCCGCTGTCTTTGGGGGCCCCAGGCTGCTCAGAGGCGGGCCCGCACCCGGGAAAGGCTGCACGGGGCACCGCCAGTGGCATCTGAGACGGGAAAATGCTTGGTACTGTCCTGGGCTCACATAGCCACACGCATTCTACTGCCCGTGGGCAAGTGTTGAGGTTTCTTGTTTATTTTTTTCCTTTTTTTTCTTTTTGGGTCACACCCAGCGATGCACAGGGGTTACTCCCAGGGTTCATGCACTCAGGAATTACTCCTGGCCGTGCTCTGGGGATCATATGGGATGCTGGGAATCGAACCTGGGTCAGGCCGCTTGCAAGGCAAATGCCCTACCCGCTGTGCTATCGCTCCAGGCCCGTTTTTTTTTTTAATTTGATTTTTTTTTTTTTAGTTTGGGGGCCACACCCGGCGGTGCCTAAGGTTTACCCCGGCTCTGTGCTCAGGGATCACTCCTGGCAGGGCTCGGGGGACCATAGGTGGTGCTGGGATCAAACCGAGGTTGGCTGTGTGTAAGGCAAGCGTCCTCCCCCTTGCACTATCTTCTTCAGCCCCATAATAAAAAAAAAGAAATTTTTTTTTCTTTAACCAAAATATTTGGCTTATTGTGAAACACTGGCTGGAGTGAGAGCACAGCGGTAGGGCGTTTGCCTTGCACGTAGCCGGCCCGGCTGAGCCGGGTTTGATTCTGCCGCCCCTCTTGGAGAGCCCAGCAAGCTACCAAGAGTATCTCATCCACCCGGCAAAGCCTGGCAAGCTACCCGTGATGTATTCAATATGCCAAATACAGTAACAACAAGTCTCACAATGGAGACGTTACTGGGCCCGCTCAAGCAAATCGATGAACAAAGGGAGGACAGTGTTTGTTTGTCTAACCAAAAATAAAGCTGATAGGCTGGAGCGATAGTAGAGTGGGCGGAGCGCTTGCCTTGCACGAGGCCCACCTGGGTTCGATCCCCAGCATCCCACAGGGGCCCCGAGCACTGCCAGGAGTGATTCTTGAGCTCAGAGCCAGGAGTCAGCCCTGAACATCACCTGTGTGAGCCCCAAACAAACAAAACACCCTCCTGTTTGGAGGCCGAGGGCTGAGCTCGACAGTACAGCGGGAACCTCATGCATGTGTGGTCCTGGGTTCAAGATCCAGAACCTGAGTACCTAATTAAAAGGGGAAAGTCCTGGGTGTGAGAAAAACTCTGAGACGAGGGAGCAAGACGTGCATGCCAGAGGCCTGGTCAAGCCCACAGGGTCCCCTGAGGACTACAGGGAACAGCCCCTCATCCTCCAAGACACAGTGACCCAAAATCCTGTTTCTCCTCCATGTAGCCTTAAGCTGTCACAAGGAGGGCACATTCTGGGGGAAGGGAGATGCTGATGATCCCACTTACACAGAGTGAGAGGCAGGAGAGCTACTAGGTGGGGATTGGGCTGTCCCTGAGGGGTCACAGGCACTCCACGCCCCCCCCCCCCCGGCTCGGGGTCCAACCGTGCTCACCCACTGCCAGGATCTCCTTGCACTTGGCACACTGATCCTTCATCTTCAGGCACCCTGTGGAGTTGTGGCGGATCTCTTTGCACACGGCCCGGTTGTTGCCACCTTCTGGGGACTCTGCAGGAAAGAGCAGGGGTCAGGGGGGCAGAGGAGTCAGGACGGACCTCACACTGGCCCCCTGCATAGGGCTGCGAGCCTGGCACACTCCCCATGCCCAGGACCTATGGGGCCTCACCCTCTGCTCTGTTCTGACTCGGTTTTCCCCCAGCAGGCCAGAGCTCCCCCTGCAGGCAGGGCTGCCTCAGAACAGGTCTCCCCCAGCAGGTCAGAGTTCCCCCTGCAGGCAGGGCTATCCCAAAGTGAGGTCACCCAGGGCCCTTCCACATCTGCCTTCACTGCAAAAACAAACCCAGATGCCAAGGTCTAGCCTGGAAGAGACCTACTAGCCAGCTACTGGTTCGTGCCGTGCCAGGGCTCACTTTAAAAGTACTGAAAGTCACGGGCTGGAGCCATAGTGCAGAGGTAGGGCATTTGCTTTGCACACGACTGACCTGGGTTCGATCCCCAGCATCCCATACGGTCCCCCACACCCACCCCAAGCACTACCAGGAGTAATTCTTGAGTTCAAAGCCAGAAGTAACACCTGAGTATTGCTGGGTATGGCCCAAAAACCAAAACACACACACAAAAAAAGTCAGAATTGGAGATTTCCTCCATAGAACTGAGTAGAGGTGGCAGGCTCTGGTTGGTGGGTGGGATATTAGGATGATGTGTGCTTGAAAAGTATGATTCCCAGTATTGTAAATCCCAGTACCTCAATAAATATGGTAAAGTACACGCTGGTGGCGGGATTGCTGTTGGAACACTGAATGCCCATAACAACTATATTATGAACAACTTTATAAACCAGGGTGTTTAAATTAAGTTAAAAATTGTAATGGCAAATAAGTAAATAAAAGTATTAGTTTAGGGGCCAGAGAGAAAGTACAGCGGGTAGGACCCTTGCCTAGCATACAACCAATCAGGGTTTGATCCCTGGCACCCCATAGGGTTCCCTGAGCCCTGCCAGGAATGACCCCTGAGCACCGTGCCTGGAGTGAATGCTGGGTACCACCAGGTATGGCCTCTAAACCCATAAATAAAACAAAGTTTTGGCTTTTCTCGTCCATATTCACCTTCACTCGTGGACCATTCCGAGTCTGATCTGAAGAGGACCCCAGGATACAGCCACATACCCGCATTCCGAGCCGGGCTATGAGCTCTGGCTGTCTGTCTCGTGGAACCCCGTTAGGAGCCCGGGGTGAACAGAGGGTCACTGCCCCCTTTGCCATTCAGGGATGAGGGTTGCAGGCTCAGTGCCTGCTGCACCCCTACAATCAGCTCTAGAGCCTGGGGAGTCCCTTTGCCCCGGCTTAACCAGCATTCTGGAGAGCCTGGAGATGTTGGGGGGACACAACCGTGCCTCCCCGGCTGGATCTAGCCTCCCAGAGTCCTGCCCCCAGCCCTCACGCCCCAGCCTGACCTCCTGGTGCCTGCTCCAGGGGCGGGAAGTCCTGGGCCTCCTGCAGCTGCGCCTCCATGGCCTCCTGCACCTGCTGCATCATGTCCACCAGGGGCCTGAACATGTCCGCAAAGTTGAAGGGCTCGAAGCGGTGGAAGGGCAGGAGGCTGCGCACCACGCGGGAGTTGGCCCCGTAGAGCAGCGGCCCGTGGCGCGCGGGGCTGCGCAGGGGCCACCAGAAGTGGGGCTCGGGCATCTCGCGGGCGAAGAGCGAGTCGGCGAAGAGCGTGTCCATGAGGCTGGACGTATGCTGGAAGCTGTCCTGCATGGCGTCCAGCTCGTGCGCCTGCTGCCGCTCATCGTCCAGCAGGGAGTCGATGCGGTCCCCGTTCATCCACAGGTACAGGGGCGAGCTCTGGTTCAGGAACTCTTCCAGCTGCAGGGGGGGGGGGGGAGGGGAGGGAGAGCGCTCAGGGCCGGGAACGAGCCCCCAGTCCTGCCGGCAAATGCTAGTTAGGGTGAGACACTGGGGGCGGGGAGGGGTGGGCGCGCGCCCCAAACTGCGGGCGAGGCTGGCTGGGATCCACTCGGGCGCGCACCGGGAATCCGGGATCCACATGCGCGGACCGGGAATCTGGGATCCGCACGCAGGAACCGGGAATTCGAGATCTGCACACGTGGGACCGGGAATCCGGGATCCGCACGCGCGGACTAGGAATCCGATATCCACATGCGGACCGGGAATCCGGGATCTGCACACGTGGACCGGGAATCCGGGATCCGCACGCGCGGACCGGGAATCCGGGATTCGTCCTTCCTGGCCCCTGGGTCCCAGGAAACCCTTCCCAGCGCGGGGCCAGGCTGAGAGCATCCCCAGCAGGGATGCGCCTGGCTGAGCCCGACCCCCACACCCCAGGCAGGTGCACGGGGCCAGGCTCCCCCGCTCACCTGGTGGCCCACCACGCCCGGGCCGCGCCTGCACACGCGCGCGTAGAACTTCATGCAGGTCTGCTTGAGGCAGGGCTTGCACTCCTCCCACAGCGCCTGCATGCTCTCGTTGCACACGCTCGGCGACGCCTTGAGCTTCTCCTCCGCCTCCCTGGTGACGTTGAGGGCGTCCTGCAGGGGGCGCCAGAGGCACGCTCAGCCCTGGGGTGTGCGTATGGTGGTGGGGCCGCTCGTCCCTCTGTCCCGCCACATGGGGCGCTAGCGTCCACCCCAGCCCCTCTCCCCTCCACCGCCCCTGGACACCCCACATCTCCAAGAGACCCCCCCACCCATGCACGCCTCTCAGAGCTCAGTCCCTACTCTCTGCGGGTGCAGGCGTCTCACCAAATCTCCCAGGTGCCCCGAATTTTTTTTCATTTATTTTGGTTTTGGGGGGTGGGGGACACGCCCGGCAGTGCTCAGAGCCTACTCCTGGCCCTGCGCCCAGGGATCACTCCAAGTGGCATTCTGGAGTGCCAAGCATTGGGCCCATGAGGGCCCTGTGCAAGGAAAAAGTCTTGCTTTGTCCTATTACTCCGGCCCCCTTCTCCAATCTTATTTTTATTTATTTATTTTGGTGTTTAGGGCACACCCAGCAGTGCTCAGGGCTTACTCCTGGCTCTGTGCTCTGGTGGTGGTGCTGGGGATTGAGTTGTAGTTGGCAGCGTACGAGGCAAGCACCTAAACCCTGGTAACCATCTCTCGGGCTTCTGCCTCTTATTGTTCTAATGTAACCAACCAGCCCTCTGGCAGAGGATGGCAATGGACCAACTTCCAACAGCGAAGCTGTCCCCACCCCTCATCCCAACCTGGCCAACTCCTCAGCAAACCAACTCAGAGATCCAAGAATCTGCTAAGAATTCAACCTGGGGGCTGGAGCGATAGCACAGTGTGGAGGGTGCTTGCCTTGCACAGGACTGACCCCGGGTTCGATCCCCGGCATCCCATAGCATCCCCTGAACACCGCCAGGAGTGATTCCTGAATGCAGAGCCAGGAGAGACCCTGAAGCATCGCCAGGTGTGGTCCAGAAACAAAACAAAACCAAATCCCGCAAGGAAGATGGAAGCTTGGTATAGGCCAGCGGCCACTAGCAAATCCCTCCCTGGAAGGCTTTCCAAAGCCAATAACTGTCAGCTGACATGGCTGGAAGGACTGGGCAGGGGGGCGGGGGCGGGGGGGGCACTTCACCTCCTTCTTCATCTTGGCCTCCTCCAAGTCGTCCAGCAGCGCTTTGCGTTCCTCATTATTCTTCTCGATGAGGGCCTTGATCTGCCTCATGCCCTTGAGGGCGTGTTTCAACTCCTTGTTGATATACTTACTACCCTGGGCAGACATTTCTGCAGGGGTTGTGGGGAGCGGAAGGTGAGGGCCAAAACACAGCTTAAAAGGGTCGGGGGGAGGGGGGGCTGTGGATGGCCAGGGTCCCTACTCCTGAATCATCAAAGCCGCACGCCCCAGAGGAGAGCGGCCCCCCTGCCCAGGGAACCAGCCTCTGGCTGCCGGAGGAGGAGGAGAACAGTCCTGGACGCAGAACGCGCTCTGGTGCCCACGTGTCAGTTTGGCCATGGGCACGAGCTTTGCGGAACTCAGTTCTGGACATTCGGCCACATGTGATGCCAGGGGCAGGATCCCGGCAAAAGCCACAGAACTGTCCCCACCCACCACCCACCACGGCCCGGAAGGAAACCCAGTGCACCAGGGGCTTATCTTGGTGGGGACAGAGTGTGGTTGTGGACCAAGGGCCGTGGCAGCTCTCAGGGGGACACAGCCTGGGCCCCCACACCCCCAGGAGCGGCCGAGTGCACAGGTCGGGTGGGCTGATGGCCCTGGAGTGACACAGCCCAGGCCGGGAGCAAGAGCTCACAGGCAGGCCAGGCCGAGGGTCCCGGAACCCCTGCCCCGCGCCTCCCTCGCCACTCACCATGCAGCTCCTTGGGCGACACCTCCGACTCGGCTGGCACTAGCTCGTGGTTCTGCCCGTGCCCGGGCGTCCCCCAGAGCAGCAGCCCCACCACCAGCAGCAAAGCCCTCATGGTGCCTCCGATGGTTCTGGAATCCCAGCCGGCTTCTGTTTGTACAGAGCAGGACACCGCCATGGAAACGGGGCTGTTTCCGGCCCAGCCTGCAGCCCCACACTGGGCCCTGGGCTGGCCTGGCTGCGGGCCTGGACCCCGCTGGCCCCGCTGACCCCGGCCCCCGCAGTGTTTTTATCCCCCGGGAAAACCCGGGGAAAAAGACCCAATTGCCACTGGCACCTTCCAAAGGAAGCTCGCTCGCTCACTGGCTTGGGCTGGGGCCAGCAGGCTGGGGCCTGTTCACGCCCCTCCCCCCACCCCCCTCCATCCTCCTCCACCTCCCACCTTCATCCTCCCTCCCCCCTCTTCCCTTCTCTCCCCCTCCCCCCCTTTTGCTCCTCTCCCTCCCTTTCCCTCCTTCTCCCTCCCTCTCCTCCCCTCCTCTCCCCTTCTTGCCCCTCCTCCTTCTCCTCTTCCTTCCTGACCCCCCCTGAGGGAGCACCATCCCTCCCAGCCAACCCTGAAGCCTTCTTTCTCACAGGGCCTAACCCTGAGACTCCAATGAGGAGTCGGGGGTGAGTGCTCCCTCTAGGAGGACATGCACCCCTGCTCGGGGCTTGGTCCCGACGCCAAGCCCCGGGGGGCCTGCCAAGGCTGCTGCCCCGGGCACAGGGACCAGGCCGCTGCCCAAGTCTTACACAACGGTCCTTTCCCAGAAATTGCACAAAAGACGCCCCTCCCCCCTTGGTCTGCCCCCCGCCACCAGTTCTCTGGGGGCAGAGGGGAACCCCTTTCTGCTGGCGCCCCTCCGAGCCCTGTCTGGCCGGTGAGGGAGAAACACCTCAGTGCTGCCCACACAGGCCCAGCGCGGGGCCCAGTGCTCCCTGGTGGACATCCATGGCTCCACCTCGGGCTGGCGAACCCAGAGCCTCAGGGCTTGCAGGTCTCTCCCCGGGACCCCAGTCCCTCCCCCCAACCGCTCGCCGTAGTCTAGCTGGCCCATGGGCTACCACGGTCTCAAAGGAGCCACATCAAGCCCTCACTTCTGGGAACCTGAGCTGCCCTGCCTTGGCGGCTGTGGCGGGGAGTGTCTGTGGGGGAGGCAGGCTTGGAAGGGACCGAGGGACACAGGAACGAGGGACAGAGGCAGCAGCGTCGCTGGCGATGAGTCACGGGAGCTGGTGTCTGCTGACTCCTGTTCCAAGCCTGCCTTTCGGCCAGGCTGGCGGGCAGGCGAGAGGCTGGTCCAAGGACGCCGACACTCGTCCCCCGGCGCCCGGCTGCCAAGTGCCCAGGAGCCATGCCAAGACCCTCCCCCTGCCACCGCAGCTAGTGCCTGAGCGGGCGGAGGGAGCCCCAGTGAGCCCAGCGGCAGGATATGGAGCCCCGAGGTCTGAGCTGGGCACTGAGGCCCGTCCCCACCTAAAGCAGAGGCCAGTGACAAGCAGCCGGACCTGCGGTCAACAGCCCCGAGGCCAGGGTGCAAAGTACTCCTGTCTCCTCCTATTTTGGGGGGGTTGTTTTTTGGTTTGGGGGCCACACCTGGTGGTGCTCAGGGCTTACTCCTGGCTCTGCTACTCAGGGGTCACTCCTGCCAGTGCTTGGGGGACCAGGTTGAAATGCAGTCAGCACCCTGCCCACTGCACCATCTTTCCGGCCCCGCCCCCCCCCCCCCCCCGCTTCCATTTTTGCTGCAAGTCCATAAATCAGATCCTTCCCGTCCTCAGCATCCAACAGCCTCCCCCACTTGCAGTTGTCAACATAACTTGATTGATTTACTTTCTTTGGGGCGAGACAGACTACACCTGGGGGGCGGGGAGCACTCCAACCTGGGGGAGGATCATCCCTGGACGTGCTGCAAGGCTGCTCTCTGCTCAGAGCTCGGGGTGGCTCCTGGCAGTGCTTAGGGGACCACACTGGGGAGGGAAACCGGGACCCAAAGCACACACGAAGCCTATGCCCCAGCCCACTGGGCAAGTGCCACCACACTCCGATGGTCTCTCAACGCCCCCGTGGGGGCTGCGAGGTCCTTTCTGCAGTGCTGTGCAGCCTACAAGGCGGACCGCTTAGACGCTCCATCTTTACCCCCTGGCTATCTCGAACCTCCACGAGCATCCTTTCGGCACTGCACTTACTCCCATTCCTCACTTCTCTCTGTGTTTGCAGAGCCAGGGAACCAGACCCCTGCCTCCCTCCAGACCGGGTCACAGCACCCGGGGCCACATGACCACCCTCTTTGCTACTTTTTTATGGGAGGGGGGTTGGGCAGGGGCCACACCCGGCACTGCTCAGGGGCTGCTCCTGCCCCTGAGCTCAGGGGTCACTGCTGGTGGTGCCCAGGGGACGCTGTGGGGAGCCAGGGAGGGGCGCCAGCAGGCATCTTACCCCCTATTCCCTCTCTCCCACCCCCTCCCCGTTGTGTTTTTTTTTTCATCAGCTGCTCCGGGAGGCCATGAGGCTTCCACACTCCTTTCAATGAGGAGCCTTATTAGCGGCTGAACTTTGGGGCCAGCCGAGTTCTGGGAAACCGCCCGGGGAAAGGCCAGAGGCTGAATGACATGTCCAGGCTAGCTAGCCGCAGGGACCCCAGGGACCAACTCTCCTCCTGGGGGGACCCTCGCGGGCTTTCAGAAGTGCAGGAGAGGGTGGAGCGGCTGCGACCCGAACTCAGTCGGAACCTGACACTTAGAGAAAGGCCGGGAGGAGGTGAGCAGGATGACTCAGGGCGAGGTGCACCTGCCCTGCCAGCACCCCGCACTCCCCAGCCGCGCTGCCCCGGCCGCCTCCCGGCCAAGGACCCGCGTTATTTGCACACCTGCCCTGCAGCCAGCAAGGCTGCACCCTTCAATGCCCCATCACTCCCCCCCACCCCTCCGCCGTTATCCCGAGCACGGTGGTCGTCGTCGCGTCTCTGCAAAGAACCCGCGTTATTTGCACACCTGCCCCTGCGCCCCAGTCGCGCTGCCCCGGCCGCCTCCCTGCAAAGGACCCGCGTTCATTGCACCTGCTCCGTTTGCAACCCCCGGAGCCCGGGGTGGGGGGAGCCCGGGAGGCGGCAGGCAGAGCCCTGGCTCCCTGCAGCGTTCACCCCGGCTGCCCCGCCGCCAGAGCCGCGACGGTGCAAGGTCCCTGCCCGGAGGCCACCACCGCCCGCTGCCCCGGGCCCCGGGGGGGCTCTACGGACCCCTCACCGCTCTGCTGCGCCCACGACTCGAGCTGCTCCCGCCGACGCCGCGTGCAGGGCGCTGCGAGGCGCCCGTCTTTATAGCGCCGGCGGGTCCCCACCCCCTCGGGGGCTGGCTGCAGACCTGCGTGAGTCACGCCTCGAGAACGCCGCGGAAACGCACCGGCGGCTGGAAGCAGGGGTCCGCCCGCTGCAGCGCGCGGGGAGGCCGCCAGGGGGCGCGTGGGCACTGCCAAAGGTCTCCAGGGTGGACCCCCCCCACCCCATCACCACCACACACACACACACACACACACACACACACACACACACACACTGTTTGTATGGGAATCTCTTCTCCGCTGAGAGGAGGGCTCTGTTTTCCCCTCGGGGGTCTTTGCTGGAATTTGTGCTTAGACATGGCTACTCTGCGGGGAGAAAGTCTCCCCTGTCCTGAGCCCCTGGCCGGCCCCAAGCGGAGGGTGGTGTACGTGGGGGTACCTGCTTCCCTGCTCATGCTTTTAAGGTACATCCCTGTACCCCAATCTGGGGCAGCCTGGGGGCCCAAGGCTCTGGCTCTGCCCCATCTCCAGGGAGCTTGAACCAGTCCCCCACCCAGTTGGCCTCACCCCACCACCCCGGAGCCTCATCCCGGAACCCCAGCCCGGAACCCCAGCCCGGAACCCCCGCTCCAGTTCAACCCCAGGCACACCAAGGCGAGGTCATTGGCCCAGAAAGAAAGAACAGCAACAGAGACGGCCAGAACAGGCTCGACCCGGGACTCTATTCTCTCTGAAAGCCTCATTGTCTGAACTGCTACATTTTCTACAGAAACTGCCTCCCTCAGCTTCACTTATCACTGGAGTCCCAACGGCTCGGCACTGGGAACTCCCCACAGCCCTGAACTCTGCGATAATTGTATTCAAAATCAGGCTTTGAAGGGCCAGCAAGGGAGAGACTGGTCTTAGCTGGAGTTAGGTAGGTGGGGGTACAAGGATAAGGGGTCACCCGAGAAAATCACCAGATTCCCAGGCTGGCTGGCCTTCAGGCTGGCCGGCCTTCAGCCCTCAGCAAGTGAGGATCCATGGAGGAAGTCTTTCTCTTTTTTTGGTAATTTTTAAAAATTTTTATTAGTGAGACACCATGAGGTACAGTTGTAGACTTACAAATTTTGTGCTTGGTTTTCAATTATACAATGATCAAATACCCATCCCTCCACCAGTGCCCATTTCCCACCACCACGGATCCCAGTATCCCTCCCACCCCCCATCCCCCCTATCCCACCCTGCCTCTGTGGTAGGGCATTCCCCTTTGTTCTCTCTCTCCTTTTGGGTGTTGTGGTCTGCAAAAGAGGCATTGAGTGGCAAACATGTTCAGTCCATAGTCTACTTTCAGCATGCTTCTCCCATCCTGGGAGGATGACTGGTTAAAGAAACTTTGGTATATTTATACAATGGAGTACTATGTAGCTGTTAGAAAAGACAAAGCCATGAAATTTACATACGAGTGGTACTACATGGAAAGTATCATGTTAAGCAAAATGAGTCAGAAAGAGAGGGATAGACATAGAAAGATTGCATTCATCTGGGGAACATAAAGTAACAAAATAGGAGATTAAAACCCATGGAGGAAGTTTTAAGGAAAGAGCTGGGCGTCTGGAGAATGCCCCTGAACTCATTCCTGGGGTCTCTTCTAGGGAGATGGTGGCGGTCAACGGGTCCAGGGGGCTCCTTTTCCCTCCCCTATGCCCCCCCGCATACCAACATGACCCCAAGGCATGGGAGCCCCCATAAAGTCGCTAAGTAAGGGCTGGTCCCTTGTACTATGCCATCTGCACCCACACCCACTCCCCAGGGCTGGCCCTGGGACCACCCCAAACTCTGAGCCAGGTCCTGGGCAGCAAGTCAGACATTTGAAGGCAGCTGGAGGTGCCCACCTGTGGTTTGCAGATGTCCCTGTCATCTGGGCCCTGGGACTGATCTCGCCTTAAGGTCTGGGTGCCCCCTGGGCCTGCCAGTCTCACAGAGAGAGAAAGACACACACACACACACACACACACATACACACACACAAACACACACACACACACACAGACTCCCTTACATCTGAGAAACTCCCTGCAGAGGCCAGGGCAGGGTGGGGGGTCTGCTGCCTGTGCTTCTCCCCCCTTCTCACAGACTGACGCCTCCAGACACTGCTCGGCCCAGCCCTGCAGCAGGGCCCTGGCCGGTGACCATCCTGAGGGGGCCCTAGGCTCCAGCTCTGGGGCCAGGCCAGAGACTCACTACAGGGCCTTGCTGGTGTTGGACCCCAGTGCCCCCTGCTTCCTCCTTTTGTTCCTCTAACCTCTGTAACGTTCAGCTGGTGCCCCCTCCCGGAAGAGCACTAGAGAAGAGCACTCTGGGAGCATGGAGAGGTGCAGAGAGACCCACGAGTCCGCCTGGCCTGACTCAGGGATGCAGGAGGGAAGTTCTTGTGGATGGAAGCGTCCAGCCCCCTCTCACTCCTTCACTTCCCCTCTAAAACTCAGGTTTCTGGGGCTGGAGCTATAGCACAGCGGGTAAGGCGTGTCCGTGGCCAACCCGGGTTCAATTCCCAGCATTCCATATGGTTCTCTGAGCACTTCCAGGGGTAATTCCTGAGTCCAGAGCCAGGAGTGACCCCTGTGCATTGCTGGGTGTGACCCAAAAAGAAAAAAAGAAAAAAAACCCTCAGGTTTCCTAAATAATGGTGTCAAGGCAGCCCTAAGAAAAGATGAAGTTTGGGCCCCAATTGAGAGTACAGTGGGTAGAGCACTTGTCCTGCACACGGCCAAGCGGGGTTCAAGCCTCAGCACCTCATAGGGTCCCCCAAGCCCCATCAGGAGTGGTCCTTGCAAGCAGAGGCAGAAGTCAGCCATGAGCACTAATGAGGGTGATCCAAAACCAAAACCAAACAGGAGAAAAGATAGAATCTTCTAGAGGCTTATGCACTAGGGTAGCAGGAGCTAACCCCCAGCACTGGACAATTCCCTGGGCACCACTGGGAGTGGCCCTCAGCCAGGGGCTGGGAATAAGGGACCAGCACCAGCCTCTCTAAAAAAGAAATCTTACTTTCTGTTACAACATGCGGAGAACTAGAGGCTGTCATGTGAAATGAGTCAGCAGAAAGACAAATACGGGGTGATCTCACCCACAGGTGGGTCAAAGAGACAAAGCCAGGGAAAAGGAGATAAGGGCTGGGAAAATAAGGCTTTAGTCTTGGAACAGAACTGAGGTTACCAGGGGCTGCAACGTCATGCCAGGGAGAGGGGCGGAGGCACTGAAGCATAAAGTACACACAAAAAACGTTAACTGAATAATGGGTATTTATAGGATATTTAGCATGTCTGTACATATACGTACTTATAAACACCCGATATTTTTTACAGACATTTGGTTTTCCTTCCTTTCTTGTTATTTCTTCTTCCCTTCTTCTCCCATACCTGGTGGTGCTCAGGGATGACTCTTGGCTTAGTTGACAGTAGAAACAAGGGTCAGGACAAATGGTCCATGGTTGGAAGCCTGCCTCTCAGGCTGGGGGAGAGGGCAGCTGGGATAGAGAAGGGACCATTATGACAATTATGGTTGGATCACTCTGGATGGGAGAGGTGTGCTGAAAGTGGGCAAAGGACCAAATATGATGGCTTCTCAGTATCGGTATGCAAACCATAATGCCCAAACGGAAAGAGAGAGAGACAGAGTCAGAGAGAAAAAATATGAACACTTTTTTTGTAAGCATGTTCAGCAGTTCTGCATAACAGACAATATGAAATATATTATTCTGGTTGTGCTTTGGGACAGGGATTGGGGTTGGGATGGAAACATCTCGAATTTGGTGGTGGGAAGGTGTAATGGTGGTGGGATTGGTGTTTGAATATTAAATATAATCAAATATTGTGAACTAACTTATAAAATAAAAAATGAGAGAGAGAGAGAATAAAATGCTTCCCATAGAGGCAGGCTATGGGGGTGGTGTCAGGAGGGATACGGGAGATATTGGTGGTGGGAAATGTACACTGGTAGAGGAGCGGGTGTTAGAACATTGCATGACTGAAACTCAATCATGAAGGCTTTGTAACTATATCTCATGGTGACTCAATGAAAAAGAAACAAGAAATATAAATTAAAAAAAACAACTTGGCTGTGTACAGGGCAAATGTCCTACTCACTGTATCTTCTCTTCAGCTTCTCTTCTTGATAGTTCTTCTGTTTATTTAGGTTCATAACATATGTTTAGAGGTAATTTAGAGTATTATTTTTATTTCAAAATTAATCGCTTATCCCAGGGAGATATGAATCCAGGGAAAGAAATGTCAAATTTATTGCACAAAGAACCATTTGTCACACTCCTCTCTGCCTGCACTAACCACTTCAATCCAGGAGAACTGTCCTCCCAGCTCTGTTGGGAGCCTGGCGTCCACTCCCTGCCAGCTGGGACTCAGCCCAGTGAGGTGGAACTACTCAGTGGGCAGTGCTGGGGACCACTGGGGCCACCCTGGGAATTTGAAGCCGGGGACCAAACTCAGGGCCTTGAACATGCCAACCATGTGCTCTGTCCCTGTACACAGTCTCCCTGACCCCCCTTCTTATATTCAAATAAATATTATTTCACTGTGACCAGGCTTGCAGCTTAATGCCACTTTTTTAAAATTAAAGGACGGGACTGGAGAGAGAATACAATGGGGAGGGCACTTTCCTTGCATGCAGATGACCCAGGTTCAATCCCTGGAACGCCATAGGGCCCCCTGAATATCCCCAAAGTGCTCCCTAAACACACATCCAAGAGCTAGCCCGAGTATCCCCCTGTGTGGCTTCTAAAAACCATAACATATATGCAAGGACAAAATTTTATAATATTTTTGCTCCTCGTTTGCTGCCGTTATGGCAATACAAATGTCAGAGAAAGAGAGAGAGAGAGAGAGAGAGAGAGAGAGAGACGAAGCGTGTTATATTAAATGCATCTGCTTATAGTTCAGACTTTTCTCAGAGGGCCTTCAGAGTGTGTGTGTGGGGTGGGGGGGATTTATTCCTAGCAAGGCCTGGCCAAGCTGATGGTGTTGGGTGTTATGTCCTGGGAAGGGAGTTTCGCTCACCCATTGACCAGACCAGACGCGAGGATGCAAATGC